GCTGTCAAATTTTGCATCTCATTCAAAAATGGCGCCGCTCAAGTTTCTGCAAAACATTATGATTAAATCGCGTAGAAATACATTTTTAAGAATACGATTTACTTCGTCGTCTATTAAAACATGATAGACGATATAAAATACATCGTTTCTTAGGTACTTTATTAAAATATAATTGTACAAATTTAAAAAAATGTTCAATTGATATCAAGTCACCGGATACGCCATTTTGTTTCGCATTATGCTGAGTAGGTTTGATAGATGTGTGTATTGCTACCTATAAAAAGGACGCTGGAATCGGCTAAACATCCAGAAAACGAAATTTTGTGCAAAACCTTGTGAATTGTTGAGAATAATATTTTTAATAGATTTGTACGAACGTGGACAACTTGTGTAAAACACAGAAACATTTAAAGGTGCAACTGAGATATTTGTAATTGCGTAATTACTTATATTTTCGTTTGACATGTCAGTACTTGAGGATTATAAAATTTATCTACTTAATAATGATTCGGGTATCGAAGAAATTCGAAGATTCAGTACCCATGAGCATTATAATTTCGATTTATTTTGTGACAAAATAAAAAATCTTTTTCCCGACTTGTACGATGGAAATTTCCTCGTCTTATGGAAAGGTAATATTTTAAATGTAACACTCTTAAGTCATTCAATTTTATTTCCTGTTTTATATTGTATCATTAAACAATTAATATGTTGCAATTTTGCAGATGACGAAGGTGATGAGATTACTGTATCAAATGATGAAGAGTTAAAATCTGCTATTAGAAGCATGTTATCGGGAGTATATAAAATATATATAAAAAGAACTTCACAAAATAAGAAACAAGAAGCATCACCTCCTAAAAATGAAACAGTAATTCATCCGGGTATATGTTGTGACAATTGTAATGGTGATGTACTTGGATATAGATACAAATGTATCCAATGTGAAGATTATGATCTATGTGCACAGTGTGAAGCAAAAGGTTTACATCCACACCATTATATGATTCGTATGCCACAACCATTGCAATGGTATCACAGTCAAGGTTTAATTTATTGTTTGAGAAAATTCCTCAGAAAGAGTAATATACATTCAAATAAGAAACATGGCTCAAATGAACATTCAAGGAGAAAGAAAAAGTGTCATGAATTTGCACTTAATTATAATGTTTTGCCTTGGTTGGAAGCTTTTGTGCCCTATTTGAACAGTTTCATTGAAACACAGGATGAACCGTGTCCTTCTGATAGTGCAGGTCCTTCAAAAGAAACACCAAAACAGAAAGATGAACAGAATTCTAAAGCTTATGTTAGAGTTTATCAAACTGACAGTGATGATTTGGATGTTGTTATTGAAGTTGATTCTGATAAACCGTTAGATTGTTCAGCTCACAACACTGAAAAAAGGCAAGAATTTAAAGAAGATGCGTCCATAAATAAAAATGATTCCAACAAATTTCCTGGTGAAGGAAGAAAATTGTTTGATGAGGCAAAAGATGACAAAGCATCTGTATCAGATACTACATCAATCATAAGTCAGGATTCTATTATAAAGACCACAGCAGCAGATGAATGGACAATTGTGGATAAACATGGAAGTTCTGAAATCAGCAGTGCATCCTCAGTTTTGTCTAATTTAAATGAAACTGTTGAAAATCAGGTAAGATATCGTAAAAAATATTTTAAACAGTATAAGAATTTTTATCAATATGGTTGTTCATTTTCAAAAAGGCTCCCTCTGCACCAACATCGCCGCCAGAGAGAAACTCCACCGACAAGAAAATTTACCCGCAACTACCAGAAGAAGCAAAAATATTTCATTCAAATCCAACAATTCAAACAGCTGTTGAGTCCATGATACAAATGGGTTTCTCCAATCAAGGCGGATTGTTGACTTACTTATTAGAAGCTGAAAACGGTAACATCAATAAAGTTTTAGATTTGCTTCAGTCTACAAACAAGTGAATATTAAAATTTAAATGTGATTACAACGTTTAGAGTAGTTTACACTTGATCGATTTTTTTTGGTTATATAAAAACAGTAGTAATGGTATCAAACATTCCGTAAACTAATGCAGCCTGATTTAACACCAAATAAATTTGTTGTATAATGGTTTAAAATATATGAACTATGTAGTTCAAAATAATGGCTAAATAAATGTAACAAATACAAAAAATAAATAAATTTCTTAGTAATAATGTTTATTTATAAACAATATGTCCTATAATGATTTACAACGATCCCAGACATCGAGTGGATTTTTGTTAGTTAATAATTCTATTTCTCTTTGTCCTTGAGGACTAAATTTTCTAATCCATTTTCGGTCTTCATAGTATTCTAAAATAGTTTTGAACTCATCTACAGTATAATTTTCAACATTCATAGGGAGAAAAGGATCTAAATGCTCAAATCCCTTTTTATCAAGTAAATATTTTGGATAAATAGATTCTGTTCTATCCTGTAAATGAAAATAATTATTAGATCTATTTTACATATAACTCATTATAATCATTGAATTATTATATACCCTAGTTGCTCTTATATCCACTGACAAAAGTACGGCACCATTACACCAATTATACTCTGCACTATTATAAAATGGTGCTGTTAATGATATCCTTTCAGGTGGTACATATTTACGTGTTTCATCACGTATTGATGTAGAATTAGAAATAAATGAATTAAAACCATCTATAACAACTAGTGTTCTACATTTTCCTGCTGTACTAGCTGCCTTAAGTTCATCTATTAATGCACTGACAACTCCACAAGCAAATTTAGTTCGCTGTATTCCAAATTCAATAAGACTAAGAAGTGATTCTCCAGCTTTTGTAGTTTCTCGTTGAGACCAGTTATAATCCTTAGAAACTTTCAGCTATAAAACAATTATATTAGTTATATTTATAAAATAAATCATTTTTATATGTTACTTACATCAAATTTTGATAATGTTAATTGATTTAAAGTAGAAAAATATTTTAACCATATTGCTGCATTTTGAGGTAAATCTAATTGACCTGGTATCAGGGGAGATTCTGCAATATCCTTTGGGAACTTGTACCAATTGCAAACTAAACATAATACAAAATATGCCTAATACATACACAATCTGAATATATATATATATATATTACATTCAATAAAATTCAACTTACTCCATGGTAAATGAATAACAATAAACTGTCTTGCAAGACCATAATGAACTAAATGCATCAATGTTGTTGATTTTCCTACCCCAGTTTTACCATCTAATAAATAGTGAAAGTATAGTTATATATAATTAAATTACAAATGTTATGTTAAGGATAATAAGCAAATTCAAAAGGATACATAAGACATATCTGTTTACAGGTTTTGTATAATCTGTTTGTTCCAGATATGATATTAATTCAATTGCAGGTTTTCTAACCAGAATGCCAAATTCTCTAAAAATGTCAATTCTCTTTACTGTTTCCTTTGGTAGTTCATTTTTTAATAATTTTGTAACATCTGACGGCACTGTGTAAATTCGACTTAAATGACGTGCATTATGGTTCGGGGGATATGATTCCAATACACGAAAAGGTGCGATATCTATATCTTGAACCTCTTTCACAGCAGCTGTTATTACTGTTCGTCGTCCTCTTATAATACGTAGTTTACTAAACACTGAACCTGATAAAATAAGAAAACAAATTTTGCAATCATAATGCAATGAAAATATACCTAACAATATACATTGAGCAGATTTAATTCTTATATAAACTAAATTGAACTTTGAAAATAAACGTACTAGTATAGGATATCATATTAATCTATTTTTTTTAGAGTATATATTTATAACTTATTTCACATGAGGTTACCGCTGGTTACCGCTATTCCAAAACACAGCCAGCCATATTTATTACTGTGGAACTCGTTTACCATTTATACCGCAGTTCACCAGAGTCCATAACTGCGAAAATACCCGTTTTCGTTCTTCACGCATCTCTAGTGCGCATCTTCGCCCTGATTGGCGATATTTCCAAACGAAGTGGAAAGCGATTAGCAGAGAGCTCGCTGCGTTCCCCCACCATCTTCCAACCTGCGCGTCACAGTTATGGACTTTGGTGAACTGCGGTATACTTCTATAAATTGTGAGAAATATCCCTATGCAAGCGTTGAAAATTTTACCGACAGTCCCTAAAAAAATCTCCAGAAACGAGTTCCCAAATTACATATACAGGGTGATCCTCTCGCTAGTAGACTCAAAGAAAATGCCGCCACACCGTTATGAATGGACTCAATCCCTTTTCTCGACAGGGGTGCATACTGTAGCTGTGTCCATGAAAAGGTATCGATGACAGAAAAAGGACTTGGGCCACTTCATGCTATTATGGCGGTACTTTCTTTGAGACCACTAGCGAGAGGATCACCCTGTAGCTAATGTAGTATATGTGTGTGATTTAGGTGGATGCGAAAAGTGACGTAGAATAGCATGCCGTTAGTTGGATGCAATAACCGAGGTGGCGCTGAAATCAATTTCTGTTCGGTCTAAGTTCGATGCAACGTTGACTGTTTTACCGATGCGGAATTCGAAGTTCGGCCTCGACGCTCTTTGCCGGTCGTCAATTCGATTCTATTTTCTGGGTATGGGTTCCATCATTAGCTGTATTTAAATTACTCATAAAATTGATATAGTAGAAGAAATAAGCAAATGCATGGGCTGTACCCTCTTTTTCTAAGATAAATGTAAACCTAACTAACTCAGATAGTATCAAATTTACGGTTTGACTAAACCCGCTAAAATGGTCGGCACCCACATGCGTCTGCCTGCAGCTAGCGACACCGTTCATTGGACATGAAGCCAATATGGCGTCACAGTAACGTAGCAAATGCACTAAAAGTGTCAATCTTTACACGCTCATAATTTTTTAACCACTGGATTTCTAAAATTAAGACTCACATTTTTGGATTCTACATATCAGAAAAAGGTCCAAAATTTTTGGTCCGTTAAAGTAAAGTTCAGCCTTTGTTTTTTACAATGAATTTGGAAGCTTTCTGTCAGTCCTTACCAAAATTGGTATGTATAATTTTCAAATTTTATCTATACAGAAGGTTAATATTTATGATCGCAAACTACTTTCTAAATTTGTTTATGCATGATTGAAGATAAATAAAACTTAATTTATGTATTTAACAGGAACTTCATGCTCATTTGAATGGATCACTAAGTACAAATACTTTAAAAAAGTTATATAAGATGCAGAATCCTAACTCAGAGGATTGTGAAAACATAGCTATGAATATTGATTGTTTTTCATCACTAGGCGAGTACGATAATTTATTTATAAGTTCTATTTTATTAGTTTTTATACTTTACATTATGTTTATTGTACTGAAAGTAATCATTTTTCATAGGTGTTTTAAAGTATTTGATATAGCACATTCGTTAACAGTAACACCAGATGCTGTTTTCCAGTCTACTTATGAAACAATTAAAGAATTCAAAGATGAAAATGTGATCTATTTAGAACTCAGAAGTACACCTCGTGCTGTTGATGGAAAAATGACAAAACAAGAATATGTAGAGTCTATTATAAGAGCATTTCAGTAATAACAATTTAATATTGATATCATTATTTTGAAAAATAAGATATTAGGTAAATTTGAAATTCAACTGTTTCATAATTTAAGGAGTTGCGAGGCAGATTTTCCAAGCATACTTGTGAAGTTACTGATATCTATTAATCGTAAACAAGGATATATAGCTGCAAAGGAAAATGTACAGTTGGCAATAGAATATTTCAAGAAATATTCCCACTACATTGTAGGACTTGATCTTAGTGGAGATCCAATGGCAGGTGAACCATTTTTAAAATTAATAGAAAAAGCTAAAATGGCTGGTCTAAAAATTTCAGCTCATTGTGCAGAGGTAAAATTTATTTTGTATATTTAAATTACATTTCGAATATTATTGAAGTAACGACCTTTCATTGCCGTGAGTATAGATTTCAAATGAAACAGAAGCAACGGATATTCTTGAATTTAAACCAAATAGATTAGGACATTGTACTTGTATTCATCCTAACTTGCAAGGATCAAATCGTTTATTTAACATGCTTCTTGCCTCGAAAATTCCTGTAGGTAAGAATGATGAAACTATGAAAGTTTACCAGTTAACTTACATAGATTCAATATTTGGTTTTCTTTTATTCAGAATTATGTCTAACATCGAATGTTAAATGTAAAACAGTACCATCTTATGCATCTCATCAGTTTAAATATTTGTATGAAGCTGAACATCCTATTTGCCTTGCTGTGAGTAATGTTTCCGATATTTATTTACATATTCATTCAATTCATCTTAAGTAAAATCTTTCGATCCTTTTTTCAGACCGACGACAAAGGTGTTTTCCATACATCTTTATCTCGAGAATATGAAATAGCCGCTTCAACATTTTCTCTATCGCGCAAAGATCTAGTGAATCTCTCTATGTCGTCCGTGCGGTACGCTTTCGCGACATCGGAGGAGAAAAACGTGCTGTCATCAAAAATTGAAACATTCAGTCGTGAAGTATGTGATACTATAAATTAAGGTTTAATTATTATGTATTTCAACAAATAAAAGAGCTGGTATTAATAAAATTGATCATTTATGTTTGTCGGGCATATCGGGGGTGTAGAAAATTATAAAATTTCAGTCAAACTGAACGATAACAATTACAAACGCGACGAGAAATCCTTAAATGAATTATTAAAAGTGTGGACCCTTAACGAGATAGCAGGACTATCGATATAAAAGTAATGCCGATTTTATTCGTTATGATATTCGTGGATTCGTTTACATGGATTTACAGATAACTAAATTGCTACTTATGGAGACTATAATAGTTACGTGTCTCAATGTTTTGTGTTTTTTTTCTTCAATAATATCATGTATTAATATATACAACATTTATAATAATTATTACAATATTATGCTTATAAGTGTGTGGTGCACCTTTGTTTCGGTATTGATCAAGAAAATTATTAATACCTACAATGGTAACGCTAACGCGTGATTCATTAAACATCATCGATTGTCTCATAAGCTATCAAAATCACAATTGAAAAATCTAACATTGCTTAGTGCTGTGAGTTTCCTTTCACACGTTACATTTTCGACAATAACATTGCGTATCTCTTTTCGTCAAACTTTTGTTCATTAAAATTTTCACGTTTCGTTATCGATCAAAAGTAAAAAACAAAAATGAACAAACTTAGCACCACTTGCAAAGAAAATGTCGAACAGCTGTCTGAAAAAAGCAAACTGCGTATAAACATCGTTAATTCCCAGAGATTTTTATGGAATTACTTTTATCCTTAAACGTCACGATTAAGAACGAACTACGAGCTTAGCTTAGCGAGAAAACGGGAGAGCAACAGGGAATCACTTTTCACGTGAATTTTTTATCTTTTTTTCATGTATTTTTCTGTTTTTTTTTTCTTCTTACCATTATTAGAACCGTTACTCGCTATATCTCGTCATAACAAGGTGATAATAGTAAATAGCTGCGATAATACTAATAGTAATGATAGGAATAGCGGTAATATAGTCATAATATAATTATATATTTTTATATATATATATATATTGACGATGACGTTAATATCGTTCTTTAATAACCAATAATAAGAAATTATTTCTACCATAATATATAATATTCGTCCTATGTAACAGTCTTTTTGGCTAACCTTCGAGCTATGAACAATAAAAACAGTTTCATCCCCTATCACGCGTATCCTCGCGGATCCTATAGATCATCAAAACTGCCACGTTTCATCCGTTTCCTGACAATCTATATTCTTAGAGATCAGCAAAAGGTCGCAAGTTTCTTCCCTATTTGCTATTCATACCATTTACTGTCGCGAGTACTATATATATATATATATATACTAATTATCTTATCTTTCGCTATTGTTTTGTATTCTAACAGCTATGACTAAGGGGATGCTTTATTCTCGATCACTCTCAGCGTTATTCTTTTGATCTCCCGAACTTGGGACACACGTTTTTACCTCAGAATGATACGCGTGTTAGATACAACTTACTCTATCACGATAGAGAAAAAACCCCCGATGGTGATCATCGATCGAATTTAATTAGTCGTAGTAAAAAGAAATGTACACGTGCTGATTTAAAATGCTTTATATATAAAATGTCGGAAGGGAGGCCGATTTCGCTATGATGATTGATTATTATGTAATATGTCGTAGGAAGGAGGTGGTACGTTTTGTTATTTGTCATTCACGAGACCACGCTTCGCGACGCTTTACTGTGACTGTTACTGTTGCTGCTGTTATTTGTTGCTGCTGTACTGGCCGTGGTCCTGCTGTCGCTTTGGGCGAAAAGAACACCTTGGTACATCACACCGTTCAACTCCATACTGACTACTAGGGAATTATCACCGTTCCTTCCATCCCCTGTTATAAATAAAGAAAGAAATAAAACGTAATAATAAATTTCTATTACTTTCTACAACAAAAGAACGCAAACTTAAATCTTCTTCTCTATCACCTCGATTGGAGATCTTAATGTGCGTGCCTACGGAGGCAGTAGGGTGCTTCTCCATGGGGCTGTCGTCGTCTGCGAGCAACCGTTTCGCTGGCGGTGGTCCGGTAGTGCCAATCAGTTCCGGATCCCTTTTCACCTGTAAACTACCACCTGACGAGGGTGAGCTTTGTCTGGCAGGGGAGGAAGACACGGGCGACGACCTAAAACGCATACATTCAACGGTCGTACAAAGTGAAAACAGTGTTGTACTCTGTTGAAGATGAAATGATGAAAAACTTACGGATGCTTGTTGTTCTGGAATTGCAGTACGTACCTGAGTCCAAGATCGAGAGCTTCTCTCTGAGGTTCTGGACTGGAAGCTGGAGGTACTGGCGAGTGCGAGGCTTGAGGAGACAAGGGTGGCTGGTGACCAACACCTGGATACAAAGTGTTGTTGTTGTACATGTTCCATAAGGTGAGTCTAGACATTTCGAGGGCACTGAAACCCGCGTCTCTCGGTGGAGTGGAGGACGGTGGCGAGGCGCTTCCTTGTCGATGGATCATCGGCGGTGGTGTACCAGCCCCGGCGCTCCTTAGCTCCTTGTTCAGCAGCTTCACATATTCCACCATTCGTGCCTCAAACTCGGATGGTGCCATTCCGGGAATAGGTCCTGCAATCAGCAATGGATCACGTATCGGTATCGGTATCGTTATCGAAACACTCGAGGATGTTTCAGCCTTGAAAGAGGAAAGTTAAAAAAATTCCCTGTCGAACGAGAAAGGGGAGAACGATCGGGTATGTTGGACGCAAACGCAAATTCAGAGGGCGGCGCGAGGTAGGAAGGAGAAAGGGTGCTAGAACGTGGCAGGGAAATTGGTTAGAGGGTGGCAAAAGAGGACGAAAGGGGCGAAGCAATAGCGACGATGGTGGTGGGTAAGGGGCGAGAAGGAGGAAGAAAGGGATAGGGAAGTAGGAATGCTCGTTAGCGAGAGTCATCCGTTAACGCCTGTCTCCCGGAGGATCGTACAATCAATTACGCCTCCTTCGCTCTCGCATCATCATCTCCGGGGAGGCCTGGAACCCTAACTACCGATTTAAAATAAACTCCTGGCTCTTCCACTGCGTTTTCGAACCGTCTCTTTCCTTCTTTCGCATCTGTCTCCTAGCGTACCGCTAACTTTTCATTTCGACCCTTTCTCTGGCCTCCGCTTCGATTCTCCCGTTTCCGGTCTATTTCAATGTCTCTCCCTTGTTCAAATCCGCACATAAACGTTAAGCTTAATATGCAACAATCTAATAAAAGCCAAATCTCTCAGCGTGTTTACCAGGAAATGCAAGGTGAGAAGAGAGAGAGGGAGAGAAACAGAAAGGTATGAAAAGCAAGAGTTTTTGACTGACCGGCGTTTGGTGGCTGTCCAAGTGATCCCTGTGGGTGTTGCGGGTGGTGCGGATGGTGGGGCAACGGCGTGTGCGCGGCGCTTCCGTTCACCAGAGATTGCGGCCCGTGATGTTGACCGCCGGCTGCCACCGCCGTCACCAATGACAGCGGGGACATTTGGGCGTGCAACGCGAGCGAGTTTGGCGTGTGGGGATTCCTTTGCACCAGGCTCTCACCTGCCGCGCCGCCGCCGGCCGCGTATGCCCCGTAACTACTTCGACGTCCCTCCCGTCGATTTCCGTCGATCGCCGCCTGCAATTCCGCCGGTGTCGACAGCCGCTTCTTCTCGCACTCGTACGGATACAGGTATTTCATGTACCTGCAAAAAAAGAACACAAACAAACAAAACAATCAGAAGGTTAGAAATACGCAAAAAGCGAACAGTATATTGATCTCTTCGTTTGGAACCCGTTATCGGCTCGCTTCATCTGCACTTTCTAAGAAAATATGTACGGGCGAAAAAGATATCGTTTGTGTCTTAGAATAAAGCACGCGGTCTCTATAATTTACAACAACGCTCGTTAACGGTGAACAGTGAGCAGCACGGTCGGATAAAGCAACGAGACAAGAACGTATGCGAGCGGGTGCACGTTATTAATTTACATCGCGTCGGGATTGCAGCAGGCATTGTCCGTCGTACGGGCGGAAAACGTCGTCCCGGCTGGCCGAACTCGAAATTGGCAAACCAGAGACGACGTGCGATCCGTTGCTTAATTTAATCTTTGCAGAAAGTTTATATCCTGATCTCAATAGCGTCGATTGCGACGCACTTCGTCGAAACTCGATATTGAAACGAATAAAAAGAAGCGATATAACTATAAACATAAAATCTTCCGAAGAGAATAAAAGAAACAAACGTTCCATGAATACGTCTGCCTAAAACCGCAACGCGAAATCGATTTCTCGACAGAGGGTTGGAGCGAAGGAGGGTGAGAGACTGGTAATTTTTAAATATTGTTTATTTGGACTGTTGCTCTCACACACGTTCGTGAATAGACGTATCTTTGCAAGAGAACCGCATGGTCTATAATTCGCGCAGGGATCGTTCAGCTTTTACGATTGTCTGCCAGACCGCGGCCGAAACTAGCCTTGCGGCCCACTTTGTTCCCTCTCTTCGTTTCTCTTTTGTAAACCCAACTCTTCTTTATCGAACGAACCTGGAAGACAAGCACGGTTTCATCAAGTTCCACCGTGTACGCCCGATGAAACCTCTGTCCAGGTGTTCGTCCCGGGACCGGTGCATAAATCTCTCTTGCTGGGTGATAATCAAATTCGCACCTTTTCAAAGAATATGATAGCTGTAGCATAAAAAATAGTCACCGAGGATCTTCTGTCAAGGCGATAAAAGACCGTGAATTCCATTCGAATAAAACGTCGTCAAGATTTCGGAAGTTTAATCCTCGAAGATGGTTGCCCGATGGCGTACACGAAACTTCACGAAGACGAATGCGCCTGTCGTTGGTCATCCTGCTTGTTCAGTTTGAGATCGCAAAACGATCTGCTCCAAAGATCAGCGGGTTCGATAATAATAAAGATGGAATCTCTGCGAGTCTTTGCGAGCGAGCCAAGTTCCAAGCGGATAGTTAATACGAATTTGACGGCCGATTTATCCACGACTACGACTATTTTCGTCGACCAATTCGCTACGCGTCTGCCGGCTCGTGCTGGAGGTGGATGATATTAATTAAGACTCGCAGATTTGTCTCGACAAAGGAACCATTTTGCACCGAGCTTCCTGACGGATCCGAGAAGAGCAGGCGCGGGTGTAACAGCTGCTTCCTTTCGCGAACGCGTTTAATCGTCATCGCACGATGTTTCCAGCTTCGCGATCTCTAGTTTCGCGTTCGCATAAATTACCCGGCACCGTTTGCCGGGTAAACGAAGCTTTATTCGTCTCGAAACAGGAGAATCACGATGGTGGATAAAAACTTGGAAAGGAAATAATTTGATTGAAACAATAGCAAAGTGCTTTGGGCGCGAGGAAAGGCAGAGCTACTCTTGCTCTGGCAGGTGACGAATGGGGTTTAACCTGGCACGAGCCGTGCCGCTCTCCAGCCTTTCCACGGTTTTGAGTGTTCGCAGCACGGGTGAGGAACGTTAATATTGTCTGCTCCCCTAACCGAGCTTCTTTTGTGCCGGCCGCCGCTTCGTATATTTTTGTTTCGCGGAGAACATGCCGCTCGCTGATACAAGCCGCCATCTTAAGCACACAAACAGTCCTCCTTGCCGTTCGTGTTCACCATCGGTAATGATGATAGCGTTTTACAAACAACGGCTGTCCGGAAGGCGTCGAGTGTGCTTTGATGTCCCCACTCCCCCCGGGTTCTACTGTCTAACCTCCTGTCCCTTCGATTCTTTCGCTCTTGTATCAAGAGTTTTGGCCCGTTTCAAATTGCTCATAAACGTACAGGAAACGCGATACTAGTAGCGAAAGGATAAAGTGAAAATTTTCTGGCACCAGCTGTTGCGATACTCCAAAGGTTCGTTCACACTACAAGTACGCGTCATGGTTTTAATTTTACCCAGAGTTTCAGCGTAATGTGAATGAAACTTTTAGCTGAGAGTAATCAATGACGCGCCGAGTCCGACCGGAAGAGAAAGAAATGAATCGGAGGGAGTGGTGACTAGGAAGCAGCCCTAACTCCTTCGGGAGAAGAGGCACAAAAGGCCGGGTGTTCTTAGTCATCGGTGCAGATTTCATGCTCAGATGAGCTTTCGTCGAGCACGGGGACGGTGTTCATTGTATGCGAATTACCAGCCAACAGGCGCATTGCCGGAACTGGGTCCCGGATGAGAAACTTCACGATCTACTTACTGGGTGCGCAAAGTGAACGCGGCGGAAGTGATGCTCGATGGCAGGTGGAGGCCTTTGATGATTTCCTGCCATAGTTTCTTATTGATCACGTCGACTAGGCCGCCCCTAGCGATCACCAGGTTGTACAGTTCGTAAAGATCCAGTACCGACTTTGCCATTATTGGTAGTCTGTTGATCGGCGTCCCTGGAATCAAAGAAAATCTTATTAAAATAGGAAACCAGCCTATTTACGCGGCACTGTCAGCCCGTAAGGCTAGAAAATAAAATAGACTCTCGCGAGACTCTTCCCCTTATCCGTCACGTGATCGGTATTCGACGATGGTACATGCAGGGTGCACCGTTGGAACTTTACGAGGTTTGTCCAAGGCTTCCAGCGAGGGGCGTTAACAAGAACAATAACGAATTCGTAACGATCACGCGAGCTCCGCGGCTTTTACGATCTCCTTACATGTATCGTACGCTCGCGTATAACAAACAGAGCAACGAAAAAATAAAAAAGGACACCCACCGATGGAACAGAGGATGGGAAACGAATCGATGGAGCAGCTAATCTGGCAATTCTATCTCGATCAACAAACAAGCTTTTTTTACGAGCTTTCGAGGTAAGTTGAGATAACGTAGAGAAGAAAGAGAAAGGTCTTAATAAAAGGAAAATGAAATAAGGCAAGTTTCCATCCCCTTCGCGCACACTGAACCAGTCGTATGTCTCACAAGTCACGGTTATTTCTACTGCGCGAATCGACGCTCGGCCACAGGAAACAGATATTACACTAGAAATACTGTTTTTAAGACATACGTGAGTTAAACGTTCCAAGTAACGCAGCTGTGGTCATTATCAGCCCGTTCCAATAACTCGACGAGCTTTCATCAACGTATCCATCAGAATATAGCAACAGTGATCCGGTGTCGGAGGGTTACGAGGTTCGAGATCTATGTTAACGGGGTGTTAACAGGAATAGGAAGACGCGTTTGCGACTATCTCGTGGTTCGTCTAAGCGTATACACGTAAACGATTGCTTTACGAGCTTTCGTGGTGGCCGTAATCTGATCGTTGCTCTCGTAGACGTTCATGGACGAAAATAATAATTGAACGCGTCGTGATTCAACGATTAAAATTTAAATTAGATAATTTGAATATTAGGTGTAGAGAAAGGGTTAGTAGTTCAAGGTGCGACAATACTGGTTCGAAAAAAGAAATGAGTAGGAAAGAAAAATGGAAAGCGGAGACGAAGGAAGATGGTTGTACCATCGCGATGGCTGAGCCGACGTTTGCACTAAACACATAATTTCGAGCCGATTTAAAGTCACGCGAAAATTCACCGGCAGCAGCCGTGTACCGGCTCGAAGCCGGTAAATTTTACGAGTTTGTCCAGAGGTTCGAGTTAACGGGGCGTTAACAAGGGCAATACTCGTGACTATCGCGCGTGCGAGCCTCTCCTTTGCGGCTCTTTACGAGCTTGCCAACGATTCCTCGGCTACGAAACACCTTGCTGCACAACCAGCAACAACAAAAGCAACAACAGCAACAAGGACGAGGAGGATGCAACGGAGATGCAGCGGCAAAAGGAATAATAACGAGAGCAAGTAGTATCTGGAATAATAATAGCGACCGACTGATAACTAGACTCGGTATGCTCGAGGTGCAAAGAGGAGCGAGGCTGACTTTCAGCGATGGCTTCGACGCGTTACTGATCTTCCAATGATTTTTCGAAAATGATTTTTCGTCTTATAGTTTAACTCTTTAATATTTTTTGGGAAGACTAAACCATGTAGTCGGTTGTTTATCACAAAAGTTAATTCTAAACAATCCTGCGCGAGTAAAGAGAAATGAAAACCAGTCTTCGTTTTCAGGAATTCGTGATTCATAAAAATTTTCTGATGAATCTGCGAGCGAACCACGGGTCCCGAGTGGCCATCGCTAGAGCAACGTATCGCAGGATCGTTTATCCGCCATCGAGAAGGACGAAGGGTGCTGCCCGCCATTCTTGTCTGCTTCTTTCTCCCTTTCTCCCTTTCTGCAGAGTGTAGGCAATAAAACGTTGCAGGCCAGAGTAGGGGAACCAGCAATTTCGGGCTATCGAGCGTGCTCTCTCCGGCTTTATTATTGGCCCTGCAATTATTGTTGATATACGCGCAACCCAGCAACCCAGGGCATAATGTTCCTATATAGGGCGCGGCGATAAAAGTTGTGCTCGCAAAATGGCGGCAGATTCTTCTCGTCCCATCAACTCCATCGAGACTGCAAGCCTTCGAACCCCTTTCCGTTCAATTTCTTTTCTCGCGAATTTACTGGTAGTTATCTTTACCGTTGTCGAACTTGAAGATTTAATTTTTAAGTAAATTTCCTCTTTAGTAAAAATTCTATTCATATGTATTCCGGAGAGAAACAAATGAAGATGCCTCGCAACAGACAATTTGTATTATCTCAGTTTACAAGACAGAAGCAAGACGAGGCCAAGATCGATGTATCTAAGATAATACTAGCATGGAGAAGAAGAAGAAAAGAAAAAGAAGAAGGTACATTAGGTGAAGGGAAGCTCATTGTTCGGCAGCAAGCAGAAATCCGCGAGCAAAGAAGGTAGACAGAGAGAAAGATGCAAAGATAAGGAGAAAAGAAATGGCGAGGTAAGCGAAAGGAAGAGAGAAGAGGTATTTCAGGATGCGATTACGACTTTTCTTGGTAGGGCGTCCAATCAGCAGTTATTTTTATAATGGCCGCCGCCGCCGCCGCCGCCACCGCCACGGCGTATTCGAGCCGCAATGGTGGCCATTGCACGTTCGTTTCGAACGTTACCAGCCAAAGTAGCCATTCGACGGCCGTGCAGGCGTTATGTACTATCGTTGTACATAATTTCACGCGGTTAGTTTGAAAACCGAGGGGTGAACACGCCGCGATACACGAGCCGAGAGCCATCCGCTTCGCTCACCCTATTAACCTTTCTTGTCCATCAACTTCTGACGGATGTCGTTCGCTTAAAACAACCTTTGATTCCTATCAATTCTTCTATACTACCTAGAAATTACAATTTTCGGCTTGCAGAGGCATCGTATTAGTTTCTGGTAACCGGAAAGTTACTTAAGTACAGCCGTCCCGTGGACGCGGTCGGGAGAAAGGGTAACTGGTATACGAAACAAAATGTTGCATTTTATGGGTTATTGCGAAGCATATTGGGCGGGTAGGATCGACGGGCCGAGGGAGTGCCCGATCTAATAACGATCGACCATGTCGGAGGCCTTTATTAACCGACGCAGCAGAAACTGCGACCCACCATGGGCCGACTCTGAAAGCCTTTAGGACGCGCGCGAAACGACTTTTCCCGGAATCTCGCGTGACGGCCCTGGAATCTATTCAATAAGCCGTCAACGTAATATAACCCCTCTCAGCTATTCTGTACCCTCACCCCATGATTCTCTTTAAAAAACGCGTGCAAAGTTCATTTCTTTTTTCCTAAGAAATTCAATTAAGTCAATAAATAATTTGGGACGGATTTATTTTTTTGATTAACCCGATAAACGTGATTCACGCCTATCTGTTCGTATACCTCGCGATAGCTCGAGCAAACCGACCGAGCAACTTTCCGGCTAAACTCGCTACGCTACTTTCAACGCTCGCATTTACGAGCTAATTTGCGGTCTTGCGGTTCGCGCTGCTGTTCGACGACAAAGTCAAATTGTTGTTCGTTCAAGGGTCTTTCGTACGCCATCGAAAACCGTGCTGATTTCTGATGGAAAATTTAGGGGTGCTGAGGGTAGACGAAGAACGTAGAGGTAGAAAAAAAGAAGCAGAAAAGATGAAAGCTGGTAGGTTAACTTTGTTAGCGGTCGGGTATTATCAGACGAACGAAAGAGACCAAGATTGGCATTGCGGGGAATAGCCAGGAGAGAGAGAGAGTAAGAGGGTGGAGTTTCATATGAAATACACGCGACATTTACTGCCTCCACCGGGCTCCGGGCCCCTGCAAAGACGCAAACGTATTATAAATAGATCTCTTTCTCTGTCCCTTCCCCTCGTCTGTGTACCATTCTTTGCAGCAAGTATTTTCTCTCCTTTTCCATGCCTCGTCGAGTTCTCCAGCCCTTCGGTGTCGACCTCTCGAGATCGAGAAGGGAACGTGTCAGCCGGGCTCCAACACTGCTACAATCTGCTTTATAATCTTGTTAGGATTTCGCGGAAATATTGGCGTAATTTACGATCCGTCTTAGCGAACGTTAACTGTCAAGGCAGTCGCGATGGAACGTCGAGGCCGTTCGAAGGGGTTGCACCGACTAACGAAACTCGTGAACGCTAACTTACGCCTTTTTACTCTTTATTTCATTCTCGGATTCGACAAAAGAAGCACAGCTTTTCTATTATTTCGTCGAAGAACTATAGCTCATTACGGGAGGATCTCGATATAACGCGAGTTTGAATAGGATTATCGACTTGTGGGGCGATCCTGTCTATCGAGGCATCGAAATCTCTTCGACTAGAATAGATCCCCCGCGAAACACCCCGTAGCCACTTGTTGCTCGACGATCAAATAATTGTATCTCGGTCGGTGGCAACCCCCTGGGACGACCCCCGGGACTGGCTTATAATTCGTGGGTGGCATCTCGACCTTCTTGTCTCCGTGTCCCCTTCATCTAATCCGGCAAAATAAAAAACAACCTTCTCTTTTGTCTCATCGAACTTCTGTTCGACTTGTTAACCGTGAAATATAAAAATTGACGGGTATTGTCGAAAGCTATGCACACACGTCGAACCGGTGCCAGAAGTTAATTATCTCGTGCTACACACTTCTATTTCTATCGTATAATTGGTAGGTATTATAATGTGTTCGACTCCACGTATCCGTTTCTACTGCGACAGTGAACTTGTTAAAAGATTACAAGTTACTTTAAAAGAAAATTAACCAAGTTTTTTCAGGAATAGAGAACACATCGTCAGACGATGGCAGTTACCACTCGCGTCTGATAGAATACGTACACTTTCTACTGAAATCTTTCGCACTCCAGCTACGCAACAAGATTCTCCTGACTTGAAACACTGTAACAGGATAATTAACGTATCCTCAAGATAGAAAGAGAAATTTTTCAAATTTCTAGCAAGATCGTTGATGGATTTGAGTCTGGGGAGCAACTGATGATAGTCGCCGTCTCGGATGGACATACCCTTATTCCGGTGTGATGTTTCCGGACGACGTG